GATCTCAGGGCTAAGCTCCGGTTTTTTAGACAGCCAGAAATACAAAGCAAGCCAAGGCAGATCGGACACGACCACAGGGACACATGCGGCATACGGGTGGTTTCCTATCCGGATCAATGAGCTCCATACACCAACCTGACACAGATCGCCGGGCTCAGAGCTCCGATCCCCCGCAATCCTTCACATTGAGTAGTTCGCAGCGATGCGGAGGAATGTTCGGAGTGAGGAGGCGCTATTCAGAGACCGGGGAGGGCGGACTGCCGATAACAGGAGACATCCCGCCAGCCTGCACACTGTCCGCGCCAATACGCCACCACCAACCGCCACCAGAGGGCGCCAATACACTACTACCTACCGCCACCAGAGGGCGCCAAATACACCACCACTCACCGCCACAGGGGACGCCAAACTAACCGTCATCTCACACTCATAAGTAAACAGATATCGGACTGTGCGATCATTACCTGCCAGGTGATGATAACACATTACAAGACCATTGTTATCAGGGAGCATGGCATCCAGGAGAAACAAAACTCCATTCATGCAGACTGCCAGCCGAGCGGATCAGCCTAAACACAGTCATGAAATACCTAGTGGTGTGGTGCTTTATAGTGCTGTGTCACATTCCTCAGGATGAAAGGGTTTATAAATCCCGACCAACTCAGTGAGATGGGGACAAATGCTTCACCCCAGACAGCACCATGGGGCAACCAAGCAGCTGATGTCTATACAAGGACTTGGACATTCAGTCCCTGGTCAGGTGCAGCTGTCACAGAATCCCAAATACAACTAAAATGTCTGATAACTATATACACAGTGCTGTATGGTTAGCACTTCTGCCTTACAGCACTGGGGGTCCCGATTCAAATCCCGGCCAGGTCACTATCTGCAAAGAGTTTGCATGTTCTCCTGGAGCTTGTGAAAACATTTTAACCAAATCATTTTAACCAAAACCGTATTTAGCAGTGCTAAGAAGCGCTTCTAATTGGACAGCACCATCAGGTGACCTCGCTGACCAACAAGTGCTTGCAATTTGCTAGCGAAATTCAGAATACATGGCACAGGAACAGATAGTACACCTGTACTGCGAAAGGTAAGTATAGCGGGAGGGGGAGGGAGCCAGATTCGTGAGAGTAATTCTATTTTCCCAAATTACATGGGAAAGTGAATTTACACTTTAGGGAGGGTTCACACCACAAAGTCTGCGTCCCAGAGCGTTCGGCCTCTAGAACACAAGCTGGCCGTCTCCCTGCATTCAGGGACGTGGCGGTGCATTTTTGTCAATGGCAGTATTGTATTGCAGCAGTGTGATCGCCAGCACCCAGAACGCAGGCACATTATGTGCCTGGGTTCCGGGTGCGAGCGATCACACTGCGAGCGGGGGGCGTGGCTGCGGTGCCATTGACTTCAATGCACGGTCACGCCCCCTCCCGCAGGGAGCTGGCCGGCTTGCGTTCCAGTGCATTCCAGAGGCTGGACGCTCTGGAACGCAAAGTTTGTGGTGTGAACCAGCCCCCTAGGTCTGGTGTAGACTTAGCGATGGTGTGCAATTGCGTGCGGTTGCTGCGCGAACCCGTACATGTAACTTTCTCCGCAATAGGCACCTTGCTGTTTTCAACTGCGATCTTGCGCGATTGCACAGGTAGTATTGCTGCGGGAAATCGCAACCACAATATGGCACACAGTAGAATGGAGGGCACCACTCCGCGCACACACAAAATGCCCTATGCATGCGTTTATTTGCATGCAGATAGTGGGAGTAGCAGGGTTGGTTTTAATTATTTTAATTTTTAATTACTTTATTTTTTTTACTTTGTAAAATGTATTTTTAATTGTCATTATTGTTTACTTTATCGCCTTTTTATTTTTTACATTTGTAATTATTTATAATTTTTTACTTAACTTTATGGATATCACTCAGGGGCTAACAAGCCCGTGTGATAGCATTTGGAGGTGACAGGTTCTCTTTATTGAACCTGTCACCTCCAATACAGGAGTTCCAGCACAGCACTGTGCTTGTTCTCCTGTGACAAGAATGCTGCGAGTGCAGCCTTCCCGTGTCGGTGCTCACACGGAGCAGAGGGGAGAAGAGATGTTCTCCGCTCTGCTGACCAACCTGATCTCATTTGTCATGGTCCCGGGACCCCCAGAAGTGCGGGGTACCCCAAAGACCATGGCGTGGAGGGAGCCAGCAGGCGAGAAGAGAGAGAGGCAGCGGAGGGCAGTGAACGATGGTGGGCGGTGCCATAAGGGGGGGGGGCAGCAGCTGGAGAGAGAGGCGGTGTGAGCGGAGGGGGAGTGAGAATCAGGCTGCTTACAAGTGATCTTGAACGGCTGTAAGCCGCTGGAGGGCACTTGTACAAAACGGCTTCCCCTCTACATTTAGCCCTGCTGCCTGCCTGAAGCAGGGCTATGTCGGGAAAAAAAAACTACCCGCCCGGAACTGCATGTTCCAGGTGTCAGGAATTCCACACCCCTGATGATCCCTCATCACCAGGGAGCATGGAACTTGCTTCCCGGCCAATCAGGAAGCCGGTTGGTGTGTAATGACTTGCTGCCCAGCTTCCTGATTGGTCGGCGAGTCATTAGTTGCCCCCCAGCTTCCCAATTGGCTAGAATGCCGGCTCCATGCTTCCTCGTCACCTGGTGACGAGGTAGCATGGAGACAGCTTCCTGGCTACTCAGGAAGCAAGTCATTACATGCCGCCTGGCTTCCTTAATGGCACTTCCAGTATCAGTATTGGCGAGTATCCCACAACATTTTTTTTTTTTTTTAAATATAATATAGGTAATCAATACCGAAAAACCGGTATTGCTGTATCCCTACCTTACAGACAAGGTCAGGGGTGTGGA